GTGAAGCCTGGCTACGCTATCAAAATACTCAATTTTTTTTTATATATGCTCAAATTGAAACGGAGTCATTGTGCTAACACTTACTATATTGTGTGCAAAACTTCAAAACTACAGTACATTTTGTAAATAACATGAAATATATTAAAATATCAAACAAAATTCTCATCAATACTATTGAAATTTAATACAACAAAATAGCATTTTTAACGTCGATAATTTCAATCATACAGACATAGTTTAATAATTATTTTCAATCTATAGTAAATCGCCGTTCCCATGTGTTTTTATACTTTCAATAAAGCTACAATAAAGCTAAATTTGTAGAAATAACATTATGTAGTTATAAAATAGTATAAAAGGAAATCTAACAGTCTTTCGATAAAACCTTGACCTTGTTTATATTACCGTCGTTTGCAACTAACGATGAACAGTCGCTTATAAAAACATTGCCTATTCGCGTGAGAATCTTAAGTTTTCTTATTTTGACATAATATCTATTTTTCAATAAATATATTGATATTAAACTTATTGAATCAATATTTCAAGTCTCAGGCCAGTTGTACCAAAAGTTATAAGCGGTAGCGCATCATAACCAGGGCACAGAATTCTTCTATCTTCCTAAAACGACGCCATGTCAGTTTGATGGATGGAAAATAGTGCTAACCGATTTTGGCATGACCATAATTTATAATCAAAATGCTGACGCCATGGTCCTGGCTAGTGCGCGTTTGGGAGGCATTTACCCCCCCCCCCTCTCTGATAATATTCAAAATGGCGGACGTCCAATGGGGAATGCCTCTTGGGCGCGCACTGGCTGAGACCTGGTAGCGGTTACTCGAGTCGACCTTCTGTGGGTCTCTGTTCTGTGCCAGGGGGTGAATGCTTCTGTTTACGATACTTGCCGAGTGACGAATCATGACGAATAGCACTTACGCAGAAAACAATGGAGATGGATTTCTGTATAGTATTATGAGTCCTGAGGTTTCATGGTTTTGATGGCATGCAACATGTACGCACTTCGTACCTATTTTTAATGAAATTATTGACAAATTTCATTGAAAATAGAAATTCGCAGTTTAAGTATGGATAGGAAGGTTGGCACCACTACTATTTTCTTTAGAAATCATTTCGGGTAAAAAGGAATGTTTAAAGCGGTCAGTTTTGTAACTATTAGACATAGAATATACTTCAAAGACAGAAAATCTTGAATAATATTGTTATTTTCTTTACATTTTGACAATATTTTTTTAAAAATTCGTCATGCCCGCAACAATACCCGCGGCTCGCAATCGTGTTAACCCGCATTTTTCGGCCCGCAGCCCGCATTTTTCGGCCCGCAACCCACAGAATAGTTAAACTCCTGGTAGGTTGTGCAGGGCCCAGAGTAAAACTTTTCCAGGGGAACCATATGACATCATTAAGTTTTCCCAGGGGACCCTATGACATAATTGTTATATGGGAGAAGAGGTGTCTTAGAATATATTACACTTTTTGCATATTATCTGGCACTGACAGAACTCTTTGTACTTTGGAGGCCCCTTTTGAGCTGGGCGTTTGCCTGCATCCCTACTTTAGGCAGTCCTGAAATTGATAAAGATGTATGAAGTTATATGATAGTTTATTAATAAATCTAAAATTTGGTTTTAGTAGTCTTATTCTGGACATCAAATACAATTGTTAATTTTTGCACACTCAGTTATCCATTACATCTGACATTTATATATAGTACTACCTGAAAAAAACAAGCATAAATATGACATTTCAAGCGAAGGCCCTTTGTCAAGAGTTATAGAAGCCAACGTCGAGTTTCTGCTTGTTTTTTTTCAGGCAGTATAGTATACTATTGCCACTCAGCACAGCACGACTGTGGCATAGTTGACAATTATTTATTTACCAGTTTTAGTGGAACCATTGTATAAATTGGGTACTTGGTTTCATATTATTACATACTGCTATTGTTAAAGACCATGTAAAGTCTGTTCTGGCATATGTTCTGCGCAGGCCTACATTCCAATGGTCAGGACCCAACCATTGGAATGTTATTAATATTTCGCACCTTCCAAACTTTCTTGAAATGAATCTCTAGTCTGTATTCATTTACAAGCATGGCGAACCAGAAGAGTGTTAAAAATTCTGTATAATATATATCTAATATTTTACAACTATAGCACTGGGTTCAGAAAGTAAACAAAGGGTTTGTTTACATAACATATTTTACATGGCCTTTAGTGAAAAATATTTTTTGGCTACTAACACCAATGTTTCTGACAGAGTTGTACAGGCATTACCGTAAACAGAAACAATATATTATATCATCAAACAATTCTATCAAACATTCAAACGAGTTAACAAGTTGCAAAATAATCCAAATGCTGTTTAATTGTTGCATTCACACCATGATGATTCATACACTTACAGTTCAATTAAAAAATACCAAATCTTCTACAAACACAGTCGTAGCATTCGTGTACGCTTGCAAGTCTTGTACGCTTTAATTTGCTTTCAATAATAACACTCCAATATGGTAGAGCAAGGACATGCCATCATTCCCATCAATATACTCACTCAGGGTGAAACAAGAGTATGAATTATTACCATAACGAGGCCTGTTATTTTGCCCAAATGAATTCAAGTATGCATAATCAACTCCGCGATCCCTACACCACTTTTTCGGATGAAAAGCAACAAAAATTCGTCAAAATAAGCAAATTTTCAAGCCAAATGAAGCAAAATAGATCGTATTCACTCATATTGACCGCGCATGTGAACACCACAGGGGGTATGGGTCCAATAACTTATGGATCGACCATTCACGATCGTTTTCAATCCTGTGTGGCCAGAGCCACTCAACGATGGCTGTGGGTACGAGATTGGTGAAAGCTTGATCGAAATGGATCCCGGACATGTCAGTGAGAATCAAAATCTGGGAGAATATTCCTAGTGTCCGGATCATCATATCCGTTATGTACTATGAGGCCTAGTGGGGGTGCCAGATAGGGAGCTTTCGAAACCTTGGATCCTAATGGTTGGGCTTCCCTCTACCTCTACTCATCCCCCTACTTTCCCTCTGGGTTGGGGAGTGGGGTTCTAATGACTCATCAGAACAGCTACTTCCCTGAGGTTATAAAACATGAACAGCAGATAGGAACAGGATCAATATATTCATCAGTGCAAATAAAAACTTTTTTGTAGACATAATTTACATGGTGCCACTTAAAATTATAATAGGACCCAAACTAGTATAAAGATATAAGTATGGATACTTGGCTATTATGTATGTAACAAACAACCATGTACTCATGAGGCTAATTTTACTTCGCTTAGGAATCAGAGATTTTTATGCCTAAAACACCATAAATTTTCGTCAACAATATACATAAATACCATTTATATTTGTCAATTTCAGTATGAAAGGATTATTTCAACATAAAAAAGCGATATGAGGACACACTTGGTCGTAGTAGTGAAGCTATACTAAATACAAATAAATTTACAACTCCATGGCAACGACAAAACATTGAAATAGAAATTGTCTAGAAATGATAAAAATACTTGCCTTGAAACTCCAGACACGACTCCCAATGCCAGGTTGAGATACTTTTCTTCATACAAAGACATTCCATCATTACTAGCACTATCAGTTTAAATAAAGCCAAAAACGCCTTCAGAATGCGATTCAACCAATACAATAAAAAGCCTGAAAAGGTTTCCAGTAGGTCTCCAGCCCAACACCTTCAAACAACACATAGTTTTTGTTACTTATTATTGTACATACACATGGGAAATAAATATATGATTGCTTGATTACAATTACATTACAACGCTCGTGCGTTCTCGTGCGCGATAATCCGATAATCAGGAAAATTGCTCTAAAAGGTTTGTTTTCCTGCCTAAGCCAATCAAAAATCCGTATCTAGAGTAAACAAACACTCCGGAAGTGATTTCTGCAGTCTTTTACCAGGAACTGTAATGATTTACCAAGAATTTGGTGCAAGAAGTTGGCCGAACACTTTCCGACTACTGAAAATACTCGCGGAGTTCTTTCATATTTAAAGGGCAATGTCACGGTGCTACTGCGCATCCAAAATATGCGCGAACTGGAAAAACTGTCTGCCAACAATTAATCAAATTTGGAGTGAAATACGATACTTTTTATAATCTCTTCGTTATTCAGGACATCCCGTTACTGCTATTTGCAAGCTTCGATTAGGCGTGCGATTTTTTTCATGTTTGTTTACGTTTCAAACGTTCAGGTTTTTGACCGGAAAACGTTAACGTTTTGAGCAAGCCAATCAACGTTTGGCGGTGTGTTCAATGAAACTTTGCTAATATCGTGGCAAATGTTGATTGGCTTGCTCAAAACGTTAACGTTTTCCGGTCAAAAACCTGAACGTTTGAAACGTAAACAAACATGAAAAAAATCGCACGCCTAATGGAAGCTTGCAAATAGCAGTATGTAGCATAAAATTCAAGACTGATGCTTCTTATCCAATTATGTACTATTAATCTTAAACGTATTTTTACTGGATATTTTTATCGGTTGTGATAAAAAAAACAGCTCACAACATGGAGTCAACAACATAAAAACATGGCGGTACTCGTGTAGGAAGCGGAAGACCTTTATTATCACCAAATTCGTTTAAGAAAGGCGAGGCGAAACGAATATTGTACAAAGAAAAGTGGCACTCCCACCACCGAAGAATTGCTTTAGAGTAGGGATTACGGTACACGAAAGCTGGAAAAAGACGAAAACATTATGCGAATACAAGGGTGACACCGCATTTGCCAAGCACTTGTTGTATTGGAACTGAAGAGACAAAACAAGTATGTAAATGATTTAATGATCAGATCTGTTTATGGTTTTTAAAATTGTTTTGCATTATACAGCAAAATATTAATCGTTGTTTGAATATTCGCTTGCATTTTTAATAAGGATCGGCAGGAATACACGAACCAAAGGCAAAGGAAAGCAACGAGATGCGAAGTCGAAGCCAAAGGCCATGATTGAAGAGATTGACGTAAATATGGACAGTGAACAACGTAAGTCTTACCTCTACATGACTATTGTAAGGAACTAGAAAGAATATATAGCATTTGTTTTAATTTCTCGATGTATTTTGTTTTTATTCACCTAATTGGCTAATAATAGTACTATATTTTACTTCTGCAGTTGATGTGCCCCCTATGTTTTCTTCGACACCAATAAAATCGAAACCTCTAGAGAAGACAACTGAGTTACATCTTAGTATTGATTCCAGCGAGTAAGCCAACTACTGCAATTTAATTTAAATATTAAGATTAGAGTATATGTGTGTGCGTGATCATAATTCAATTAATTTATGATGGTGAATATCATTGTACAGTATTAAATGTACTTTGTACATTACACTTATGTATGGATCAGAAGAAGATGATATACTAAACATTACCAGTTTATCACAATCCTCGGATAACCTGAATCAAAGTTACAGAATTTTAGATGACACAGTATCTGTACATCGCTCATCACCATCGGAGAGCAGTTCAAGTGATGTGGGCAGTGATTCACACCTGAATTCATTATCTGAATGTTCATTGAGTGATGGAAATAGTGATAAAGACAGTGATGAAAATATAACGTGAGTCATATAGTATTGTAAGTTTTGTTTACACTACCAGCCTTGGCCTGGAATTGGCCTACATTTTGACAGAGTGAAAACAGACCTTGGCCTAGCCTTGGCCTGACCTAGGCCAATAAATCTGGGCTCACTACAACTGGTGGCCTAGTCCTGGCCTAGGCCTGTGGAAATGTAAACACTTTCAGCCCTGGCCTGGGCATTATTTCCGTGGCAACGTGTTCCTGCAGTGAGAGATTAGCGGCCACCAATGGACAATGTCACAACACATAAAAATACACAAAATTAATTACAAAAGTCTAGGCCAAAGTGATCCAGTCTCAAAAAAACCCACAGTGTAATGGTGTGAGCACACCACATTTACCTTGGTCCGGCCAAGGTTAGGCCAAGGCTTGTAGTGTAAACACAACTGTAGTTTGTATGGATAAAAATCAATGAACCTCAAAAACTCAACATACTGGTAGTAATTAAGCTGTAAATTTATAACCAGATGGACCTATGACTTAAATTTTTAATGACTTAAATTTTTATAAAAATGTCAATGCTGTGTCTGTTAAGGTTGCTTTCCATCCTAAATTATTAAAAATTACTTTTACCATTGTAAAAATCTTTGTGGTGCATGTCTGAGCTTACTATAATTCATTATACATAGCTCTTATGGTGGTTATGTACCCGAATAAATTGTTATCTATTGAATATATTGGAAAGTGAACTCTAAGGCTATGCAATGAAACAAAGCTTATATACATGCACTGAAAATTTTATATAGAAAAATGTCTGTTAATTAAAATAAGGGTCATAATGCTAGCCATTGTTGGAAACAGGATAAAATGTGCTGGTTGGATGGGGCTTAGTAAACGACAACTATTTCACTGAAATGTTTGTCATTTTGCAGGTTCTTTGAAATTGAAGAGGAAGATGAGCATGGTGAAACATCTGAGTCAACATCTGACATACTGGTGCAACCACCTCCCCTCCCCTCTGATATTTGTGAATCATCTACGTTTGATAATTATTTTGTATCTGAGCAACCCAGGCAGTCTCCACCGAAAACATTTTTCGCCCCCAATGTTAAACAAAGATCACATGAACTGAAAAGGGAAGAACATAATGTAAAGCACGAAGAGCAGATTAAACTTGCTAAATCGACCAAAATAATTTGCACGCTAGATTTGTTGCTTCAGATCTTTCAAGGGAAATGCAGGCATCCAACATGTAATGACAAAGTGTATACAAAGCACACTTTAATTGGCACATGTGTACTGATTGAGTGGACATGCCATAGTGGTCATGCTGGGAAATTCTACTCTTCTTATGATTGTAATCGGATAGCTGCCACAAATCTGCAAACTGCAGCATTCATTTTGTTATCAGGAAACATTTTTTATAAAATGGAGAAGTTTGCCAGATTCTTAGGGTTGTCATTTATTTCAAGTTCAACATTTTTTCGTTTCCAAAGGCTTTATTGTTTACCAGTTATAAATGAGTGGTGGGAATGGCATAAAGGTTTTTTGCAGAACAAACTGAGAGGGAAGAAAATTGTGGTGTCTGGGGATGGTCACTGTGACTCTCCAGGCTACTCACCTAAGAACCTGTGCTATTTTCTGATGGAGATGGAAACAGATTACATTATTGACCTTCATATTGCTGAAAAAACGCAAACTGATCTAAAATCAGCCAATATGGAACGTGAAGCTCTGAAAATTATTTTAAACCGATTAAAAAATGTCCTTGATGTTAGAGAGGTTGTTACAGATGCTTCATCTAGTATAATCAAGATGTTAGGTGAATATTTAATAATATTTCTTTGGATAATAGTGGACTTAATGACCAGTGGAAAAGCGAGCCCAAGAATTTGGTCATGCAATGCAAATTTGTAATCATTATTCATTTCTTTGGAAATTGATTGTTTTCACAGTCTATTAACATGGAAATATTTGCATTGTATGACCAAAATGTGGGCAGGCTTCACCACTGTTAATGATATGTATTATTAATCAGGATGGTGAAAGTTATCATTTTAATTTTTTTTATGTAGAGGATGAATTTAAGAATATCTTTCATTCATTGGATGTTTGGCATAACTCTAAGAATATCAGAAAGGCCATTACCAAGATTTGTAACAAAACTAATGTGCCTGTTGATATGTCAATGACATATTGTTAGTTCCTTTTCCATCCATACAATTTTTGCACAAAACCATTACCTCTGGCAGGCGATTTTGTTTTCACTCCTGTTTGTTTGTCTGCCTTTTAATTCGTAAACAATTTTTAAGAAACGCAAAGAATATTCATAGGCGTACGGAACAGGGGGCAGGGGGCAACTGCCCCCCCCCCCCAATTTTGGAAAGCCATGGAAATTCAGGCAAATGCTGGAAAAATTAAGACAATTCGGGCGGATTTATTAGAAAATAGGTTAAATTCAGGCAATTTCATTGCAATCCTCCATAAAAATTTGGGCAAACTTTCAACTGCATCCCCCCCCCTGGAAAGCATCAGCCCTGTATGCCTGTGAGAATATTCATATGCCAGAGATGAAACCATTACATTTTGGTAAATGTTGGATAAGAATCAGATGAAATATTGACGAAATTCAGCCTTACAGGCAAGCTTTTCTGGGTTAAAACAACTGGATAGCTGCTTGAATGTGCTTAATTACACTTATGCAAATTATGGTATGCAAATTACTGTAGGTTATTCAAGAGAGTTAACACATACCACATAATGTTGGTTTGTTGCCTAACGTAAGATCAATAGTAGAGCATATTGGCAGAAGTTTGCATTCTAGAGGAGTGCTTTCTAATTTTAATCTTATAGATTGCGAAATCAAAGGAAAACAAAAAAATTATGGACCGGTGTGATGAAATCATTAAACACTTTATGTCGTGTATTTAGATTATACTTTTAACAAAATCTGAATAATACATAAGCATGGCCGATCTACATTATCTAATGCGCATGTCCGTGCGTATGACCGCTGTCCGTCTATATCTATATATCTAACACCATCTCTACTCTTAAGGAATGTATCATAAAATATTGTTCATGAGTTCACTATCGTGTTCGAACAATTTTGCTAACCATAACAGTAAGTAATAAAGCAGTTCTCTATGTAGTTTTCTTAAACAGTTTTCGGATCAAACAGTTAAGACCCCACCTCTCGGGTGGTTGGTGTGATCTAGTTGGGTAACGTTGTCCAGATCCTGTTGTAGCCCTACCGGCTTCTTCTTGTTGGACTACTGGTGGATTTGTAGCTAGTTCGATATCCGGCTGTGCGACAATTTCTTCTGCTGGTGCAATATTCGGTCAGTCTCTCCAAGCTCTGGATGAGGTTCAGCCGTATCATCACTCTGGTCATTTACTTTCACACTAGAGGCTCGAAGCTGGTCGATTTGACGTCGCCAAATTCGATTTGGACCAACTTTTATCTCGTATGAAAGGGGTCCCGTTTGAGCTCGAACTATGCCTGGTAGCCACTTGTCTTTCCCACTGTAGTTACGTGCCATGACAGTCTGACCAATTGATAACTGACGTGTGGGGGAATGTCCTTTCCTCCCTGCTTGATCGATTTGCCTGTTCATCACTTTCATTTGTAAATCAGGTTTCACCAAATCGAGGCGAGTCCGTAGCGGTCTGCCCAAAAACAACACGGACGGTGATTCTCCAGTCGTCGAATGCGGTGTATTCCGGTAAGCCAAAAGGAACTTTGCCATATTGGTTTTCAGCTGGGATGTACTTTGTTTCTCGCATTTCATAGCATGTTTGAAACTCTGAACAAAACGTTCCGCTTGACCGTTGGTTGCAGGGTGGTATGGGGCCGTGGTAATATGCTTGATACCATTAGTCTTCAAAAATAGTTGGAACTCTGCGGATGTAAATTGTGGCCCATTGTCGGTCACC